AAAACAAATACATATTTCATGCAATTATGAGATCATATTAGATGTTAGTAGTGAGTGAAATGGGAAATAGTGAAGCAATGCAACAGACGAGCAGTTAGTATTGAGGCAAAAATCTATTTCTAGTGTTATTCTTACAACACTCCTGTTATGTTAACTCACAAATAAATAATTCATTTATATATCGGACTAACCATCACATGAAGGAGTGATCACTATTTGTGGTTCACTTGAAATGATAGATTTTTTGCCTGAATTTTGCAAGAAATCATTTTTATCAGTATTTTCACAAAAGTAGTGTTTAAATGTGTGGTATATATTGAGAGATCAAAAGCTGCGCCAAATCACCGAATAGATTGTCCCGAAATAATGGCACACATACTGTGCGCATACATACCGTCTTCAGAGAGTGGAGATGTTGGAGAAGTAGGACTAGTGATGTCTTGTGTCGTTTGGTTCATAGAGACCGGTTCTATCAGCAAATGCCGCACATCGTCGGGCAAGTCATCCACTGTCACAACAAATATACAACACATTAGTCTATGCCATAGACTCTATGGGCAATGAGGAGACGCCCATCACTGGTATGACAAACCTGGTTCTCCCCTTTGCTTTCGCTCAACAATGTTCTTGTAGTCTTGGATCTCCTGTTCGGTGACGTTATCGAACGGATTCTTGGCTTTGGAGAAGTAGGACTAGTGATGTCTTGTGTCGTTTGGTTCATAGAGACCGGTTCTATCAGCAAATGCCGCACATCGTCGGGCAAGTCATCCACTGTCACAACAAATATACAACACATTAGTCTATGGGCAATGAGGAGACGCCCATCACTGGTATGACAAACCTGGTTCTCCCCTTTGCTTTCGCTCAACAATGTTCTTGTAGTCTTGGATCTCCTGTTCGGTGACGTTATCGAACGGATTCTTGGCTAACACTAGAAATAGATTTTTGCCTCAATACTAACTGCTCGTCTGTTGCATTGCTTCACTATTTCCCATTTCACTCACTACTAACATCTAATATGATCTCATAATTGCATGAAATATGTATTTGTTTTTCCTGAATAGAGTCTATAACTAGCAATAATCGGGTGCAACGGTCGCACTCGGCCCGACTCGCAGCTCAAGGTGTGTAATATTCATACATTTCACTCAAAGTGTTGTTTTCTCTTTTAATGCAAACCTAATGGATATCAGAAAATACTTTTTCTGAGTCTCAGAAACTTGAAGGTATTTTACAATTCATACAATTAGGCGTTACTGCCGTAGATTGCAAGTGAATGTAAAAGATTTAAGCGATTTTGATTTGAATTTTTATGATTTTCTTTCACAATTTTTTGAACAGAAATAAAACAACTTAACTTATCAAATACTTAATAAATAAAGGTAACTTATACAGAACTTAAACTAATACAAAAACGTACTTAATACTTAACTACAAAACGTGCAGATAATATCGGGCTGAGGACAAGTTCTTTTCTCGGGGGCGCTTCCGCTCTGAACGCAAACCAAGTAAACAGAGCACTAGTAAGTGATGCACCCATTGCTGCCAACTAAATAGTTAAACTAACAGCACAAACAGTGGTTAAAATGGTAAAATACGGTTTACATATTGACAAACTAAATACGTATGTTAAACATCACTAATCACTTGTCAACACGTAAACATCCGTTATTAATGTATTTTAATGTATTTAACATAATCTTTTGTGCGACCAAAAGGTGATACAGCCGTCAACGGTGAAGACAAAATGGGTGACTATTCGGGTGCCTCCAGGAGTAGTAAAGAGGTTAGTGTTGTAGTGATGCTGTAGTGGTAGTAGAGGTGTAACTGAAATGGTTTGTGTGGTTTGAAGGGATCTCCTGTGAAAGAGTTGGACAAATCCAAGAAAGACAAGGATAAGGATAAGAAGGACAAGAAGAAGGGCATCCGAACCCCCAGTTTTCTGCGTAAGAAGAAGCATAAGAAGGATAAGGAAAGGGAGAAGAATGAGGCATAATATTAGAGACACTATAAGGTTTAATTGCATTTGAAATCCATTAATAAATTGATGCTTCGCTCATCTTTGACGCAAAGACTGCCACAGCTTTTGGACACTTTGTTTAGTATTTGTTTCTCGACATTACTCCATATTCTCCNAGAAGAAGCATAAGAAGGATAAGGAAAGGGAGAAGAATGAGGCATAATATTAGAGACACTATAAGGTTTAATTGCATTTGAAATCCATTAATAAATTGATGCTTCGCTCATCTTTGACGCAAAGACTGCCACAGCTTTTGGACACTTTGTTTAGTATTTGTTTCTCGACATTACTCCATATTCTCCTTCAAAGTTGTATTAATATGTTTGGATTTATTGCTCATTAAAAGTCTGTTATATTTATGAACTCAAAAGCGAGAGAAGACTTTCGATATAATTAATACCGAAAAGTGTTGGGAACCGAAGCAAATGTTTTAGTATTACTACCCGAAGGAGACTTACGACTCACTTGTTTTCGACTTAGAATTTATTTTAACAAATATTTTACAAAATAAATAATATATTTTGAATTTATGCGATAAAAATACGACAACTTATAGGAATATTCGTTCATTTTATTCAAATTTTAGTAGACTTTAATTAATTGCGATTTTAATGAATTTCTCAATAAAGAAATTATATATATATTAATGAAACAAATTTATATATGATTTTCCATTTGGACTCTATTGGGAAAAATCCTCCAAAATATTGTAAATACACTCCAAAAACACATTTATTTCTAACGATTTTGTGCATTAAATTTTGAGATCAGTTTTGAGACCTAAAGATTTAAAACAAATGCTTTATATGTCTTAAAGTTAATGTTATAAACAATTACCTCATTTGTGGTTTTCAAATGAGGGTTTGTTTTCAATGGACAGAGAGTATAAAATTTGCGATAAAAAACGATACAGATGTACTTTATATTAATTATTATTATTATTGATTATATGATTATATAATTTAACGATTCAGATGTAAAATTGGCAACTATTTGGCACCTGTGATGCCGGCGCTGCCCTGTTACCCCAAAATATATTTAATGTAGTCGTCATTATTTGTGATTTTGAATTTTATTATAAAGACATCAATCAAATCAAATCTAATTTGTTTTCACTTTTGTTAGCATTTTTTCCAATTATTTAATTTGTCTTTTGATTTTAAATCATTTAAATTATGTATAAGTTATTCACAATTTCTTAAAAACGGACCGAAAAATAATGTTTGCATTAAAATATAGATTTCATTTGATTTTTGAGAAAACAAATCTGAATAAAAAATATTTTAAAATTTGTTTTGAAATAAAATTAATTTATTATTTATTTAAAACATATGATATCCGATGTATTGGCGAAACTATATTCTAATGAAACGCTTAACTCTTTTATGACTCATCTCTTGTTTAAATATATTTGCATTTAATTGTGTTTTTTATTTAAGAAAATAATGAGAAAATACATTGTTTTGCAATTCAAGGCCCAAACGATCACCGATTCATTTCATTGCCATTCATTCGCATTATTATATGAATTCCCAACTCCTATGGTAGGAGTTCCTGCTGTTCACGATGTATGAGTGTCTCAGTTATGGTAAAACTAACTCATGAGCAAACAAACCCTCATTCCTTTTAAATTCATATTCAATTGGTGGCAAGTATTGTGTTTTAAGCATTTATTTGTGTCAACACCTCTTCTCCTCTAATCCATAATTATTGCAATTCTTTTCAATTATTTTTTCAATTTGTGTTACATTTCAAACAATTGTTTTCACTTTTATATTACTATTAATGAGAATTAATTTCCCATTCAATGCAAAGTCTATTATAATAATGCAATTGCAATTAAAATATTGAAAATTGCATCAAAGTGGCGACATCAGCATTATTTAGCATTAGTTCCTTGCTCATATTGCTTACACAATATTATATAATATTTACATTTCCACCAATAATTCCATATTTGAATAAATTTACTTTTTATTAATATTTTATGTCATTATTGATAATACATAAGAATATACAAAAGTATTTGGCTTTAAATTGTTTGAATTGTTTGGATGAATATGATTGACATCTAAAGCCCTATCGTTGAGGCCATTGAGGGGCGGATTCTGGTTGAGTGAGTGATGGAAGAGTATAGCCATCCGTTGATTGAATCCACGAATTCTCACTCAAATGACACTCAAAGACGAGTATATAAGAGACGATGGATTATATTGACTATTGTATCGCTCATTAATATATGCAATGCTGCGGTTTGTTCACTCTTTTATAAGTTTCCAAACTATATATTCTACTCATTATTCTTCAGTATATCTTGAATCCCAAATCCTTTTCTTAATAATCTAATCTTTAACATTAATGCTCTGAAATTCTTAAAGAATATTCTTAAATTAGAAAACTTTGTAATAGGTTTGGATATCAATGGCTCCGGTGGCCGATAAAGCGGCCCATTTCTATGAGACGGACCAAAATAATATTGACTTATTTTCGTCCATATTTTTTGTGTCCACAATTGTTATCGGATTTATTGCCATTTGGATTGTCGATAGGAATGGCCTAATGCTCGGAGTATTACACTGTTTATGGATATTAAACTAATTTTATAAGTAAAACACCATTTAATTTCAGATATATTTAGGATCTATATTAAATGCCCTTGGTATATCGTTGCGGGCCTTAAGTAGTGCTGATTTTATTGTGAATTCATTAACTCTGTCAAAGAGATCACAGTTTATTGTGGCAATTGTGGGGCAAATGATTGCCGGATTGGCGCAGCCTTTTGTATTATTCAGTCCTACAAAAGTGGCCGAACTCTGGTTCTCAACTAATCAAAGAGCTTTTGCCACCACTATCACTGGAATGTCTAATCCAATGGGAATTGTTTTGGGAACTATTATTTCTCCTTTAATTGTCACAACTAGTAACAAAATCCCACTTTTGGTAATAATTTAATCCATATTTTATAAAAGTTTGAACAATAATTGCAAATATAAATATAATTATTGAATTCAGAGCATAGTTTGGTGCATACCATCGGTGGTCACTTTGTTTATGACTTTTATATTTGTCAGGTCTTCCAAACCTCCCACTCCTCCCAGTGATAGCGCAGAAATAGTTAACTCAACGCCTTATTTCACAGCTATTAAAGAGGTACATAATTTTTGATGGTATCCTACAAATGACATATGATTTATAAATAATTTCTAGCTATTCAAACAAAAAGCTTATCTAATGTTATTGTTATACATGGGATGTGGTGTCGGGATGTTCTCAGCATTGATCACAATATTGGAAGAAATTCTTGAGAGCAAAGGATATGACGATTCCTTCGCTAGTGTTTGCACAGCAATAATGATAGGTTCGGGTGTTTTGGGCGCCGCAGCAGTCAGTCATGTGGTCGACAGGAATAAGAGATACATGACTGCAATGAAACTATCTGTTGGTCTGACGGCTATCGCAATCAACGGACTATTAGTTTCATTCAATTACTCTGATATAAAACATATAATTTCTATATTCTGTGCAATATTTGGATTCTTTGGATTCATGTCATATCCATTGGGTTTAGAATTGGGAATCGAGTGTTCGTTTCCAGTGGTACCGGAAGCCACGTCTTCTGGATTCCTAATGATTTGCGGACAAATTCAAGGCATTATATTTACATACCTTAGCACTCAATTAGCCAATACTCAAAAGTCAGATACACATTATGACTATAAATGTAATAATTTATACACCTATTATAATAACATAAACTATTTCTAATTAAATGGCTTTATTTTCAGATTCTTTAATAATATTGGCGTCAATTTATAGCTGTATTTCATGTCTTTTTATTCTGTTTTTCTACACTGAATACAAGCGATTGAATTACGAGTCAATGAACAGTAGTGTCCGACAAACAAATCTGCTCTCAATTACTGATAATTCTATTTCTTTATTCTCTTAATTTACATATTTTTTGTTTAATTTATTTATTTATACCTCAAACTGTTTAAATTATTAAATTATTTCAGTAGTGTCCGACAAACAAATCTGCTCTCAATTACTGATAATTCTATTTCTTTATTCTCTTAATTTACATATTTTTTTGTTTAATTTATTTATTTATACCTCAAACTGTTTAAATTATTAAATTATTGTTAAAGTTTGTACTGTAAGAGTGACCCACAAAGGTCGGGCATTAAATCTTCCCGATTTGGTACATGAATTGTGTTTTTTAAAACATTTAAATAAAAGTTAAATTCAATGAACACTTTTTTGAGAATATTTATTACAATTTATTTATTGAATGCAATTAACTCTTCATTGATGTCTTCATATAAATTAACTTACAATCCATTTATAAAAGGATTTTCCTATCGCTTTAATTAATCAATACATTGAATGAGTTAAAAGCTATTCAAAAAGAAATGAGTTTTTATTTATATAAAAATGTAATCAATTTTTTATCTTTAAATAAAGGATACACTAAATTAAAAACCACTTCAAACACTGGACAAATCGATTGCTATTTATCCTTGTTTTCAGTCTATAAATCAAATAAAACTCAATTAATATTTGAATAAACAATTGAAAGCAATGTCTTATACTTTGTCTTCGGTGTCGTCGGTCTCCATAGGGACGGGAGAGTCGACTGGTTTGGCACTGGAGTCGTGCGCGTGTTGTAGAGACATCTGCATTGCGTAAGCAATCTGTTCCTCTTCAGTCATAGTGGCGAAGTCAGGCATCGCTGACGGATCAACCATTGGTGGCTTCACTCCAGTGCCCCTGTCCTCATCGGCTTCGAGAGACATCGCCAGAGCCTTCTCCAGAAGCGCGTCCTCCTGAGGAATGGATGTGCCGGCAGGCGCTGCGCCCGCACTGCCGCCAGCAGTGTTGGGGTCAAGTGTTGGGGGCGGAGGAACGTCTTGTTGTGTTCTCTGTCGCTGTTCTTCCATCGAAACTCTGAGAGCGAGCGCCAGTTCCGGGTCTTCGTTAGGATCGATACCGAACTCAAAGCCAGAGCTCCCGATCCCAACGGCACCGCTTCCGTCCTCGCCCTGGATTACCGGCGAACTGATGAGCGCATCGGACAGATGAGGCCCGGGAGGGACAGTCACCAAATGGGAAGCCGTGCCTTCGAGTGCTTTGATAAATGCGGTCAACTTATCGGTGTTCACCTGTTCCTCACCGAAGTTCACGACATCGACGTTCACTTTNACGGCACCGCTTCCGTCCTCGCCCTGGATTACCGGCGAACTGATGAGCGCATCGGACAGATGAGGCCCGGGAGGGACAGTCACCAAATGGGAAGCCGTGCCTTCGAGTGCTTTGATAAATGCGGTCAACTTATCGGTGTTCACCTGTTCCTCACCGAAGTTCACGACATCGACGTTCACTTTCTCCTTCTTCAGACGTTTGGCTAATTTTATTAACTCCTTCTCATCCGAATCGACAGGACTTCCAACAAAGACCACAATTCGCATCTTATGGTTCTTCCCCTGTCTGTGCTTTAGTGCCAAATGTGCCACTCGTATGCCTGTCATCAGATTTATCTCACCGATCGGTTCCACGGCATGAAGTTTAGACAGAATGCGTCCGACATCTGTGGTCAATGTGCTCAACACCTGCGGGTTGGCCGCCAGTGTCAACAAACCCACGTTGTTCTCGGGGTTAGATCTGGTCTTCGAGTGACACACCATTGAGACCGCGTCCTGTTGTGCCTGAAGACGCGTCGGCACGAAGTCGCCATTCCTCATGAACTCACTGTTGTCCACACTATTGGACACAATCACCACATAATGGGTTAGTCATGGCGTGAATGAGTGCATGGATCAGATGCTCACCAAATGATAGTACTCTCCAAAACCATCGTGTCTTCAGTGGTGTCTTCAGTGGGGATCAGATGTGAGTGTTTTGTGTGACAATTGCTTTGAGCGACGATTTGCTGANCACTATTGGACACAATCACCACATAATGGGTTAGTCATGGCGTGAATGAGTGCATGGATCAGATGCTCACCAAATGATAGTACTCTCCAAAACCATCGTGTCTTCAGTGGTGTCTTCAGTGGGGATCAGATGTGAGTGTTTTGTGTGACAATTGCTTTGAGCGACGATTTGCTGAATCACTGAACACTTCAATACAAACGGGTCTTCACTTCACCACAAATAACGTCCAAAAGTGCGGATCAAATGCAGACGTAATTGAAGTGATGTTTGGCTTACGAGAGGAAAACGTGTCATAAAATGAATGCCTTTTTGTTGGAGAAGTGAATGCCGTATGGGATCACCTCTGGAGACAAAGTAACCACTAATCCATTCATTTGTATTACTCGTCCACTGCTGTCACTGACACCAGACATCTGAAGAAATGCCGATTTATTTCCATCGCCTCGAGAACGCCCTCAAGAGAGCCAACGGTGAGTCCGAAGAGTCACTCATTTGATTCAATGCTATTTCAATGCAAATGTCTTCAAATGTCTTATCATTTGTTGATATGATTTGATTGTTTGCTTTGATTTGATGAATTGAATTGATTTTCTGATTGAATTGGTGTCCAATCGGTGTCTTAATGAGTGTTAATGTGTATTGAGTGCAGAGTTCATAGATGTGGGCAAAAAGCCGCGGGCGCTGGAGATCCTGTGCGATGTCCTGCGGTCGCGAAAGCACAGGACGTGGCAGAAGAAGCACGAAGACATTATGATTAAATACCTGGAACTGTGTGTTGAGCTCAAGAAGTCATATGTGGCCAAAGAAGGCATATATCAGTACAAAATCATATGCCAACAGACGTACATCAACTCCTTCGAGGACGTGGTCCGCAAATACCTCGAAATGGCTGAAGAGAAGGCACAGTCGGCGCAGAAGGAGAGCAAACAGTCGGTCCTCGATGTGGACGACTTGGACAACGCGCAGACACCCGAAGACATTCTGCTGAGCGCTGTTAGCAATGAGGACACACAGGACCGCACCGACAGAGTTGTTCTCATCCCGTGGGTTAAGTTCTTGTGGGAGTCGTATCGCCAGTGTTTGGATCTATTGAAGAACAACTCGCGAACTGAGCGCCTATACCATGACGTGGCACACCAAGCCTTCAAATTCTGTATTAAATATAACCGGAAGACTGAGTTCCGCAAACTGTGTGACAATCTTCACACCCATTTGGATATATTGAAGAAACAACAGCAACAGAACCAAGCGGTCGGTCATCAGCAGCAGAACGCCATTAACCTGAACTCACCCGAGAGTCAGGCCATGCATTTGGAGACCAGACTCGTGCAGTTGGACTGCGCTATTCAGATGGAGTTATGGCAGGAGGCCTACAGAGCCACCGATGACATCAAGCGCTTTGGTCTCATGAATCTGACCAAAAAGCCACCGAAGCCTCAGCTGATGGCTAATTATTACCAGAAGTTGGCGCTCGTCTTCTGGAAGGCCAACTGTCCGCTCTTCCATTCGGCCGCACTCTTCCGGTTATTCCATTTGTCCAAAGAGTTGCGCAAAAACATCACTCAAGAGGACATCCAGAAGATGGCTACCAAAGTAGTGACGGCCACTCTTGCCATACCTATTCCTCCCAATAGGGCTGAGATCGACAAACTGGTCGACACTGAAGAGAATGTCATTGAAGGACATCAGCGAAACTTAGCTTCACTTCTGGGCCTCACATCAAATGTGCCGACAAGAGGTTCATTGATTAAAGACCTCAAACGCATGGGTGTCCTTCAATTCGCGGCGCCTAAGCTTCAGGACTTGTATCGATTCCTCGAAATTGATTTCCATCCACTGGTTCTCTGCAATCGAGTGCAACAAGTGATTGATTATATCAACGAAACCACAGAATATCCGGAACTCAAACAATACACGAATGCTCTGAAAGACGTGACGGCAATGCGTTTATTGAAAGAAGTGTCTCAAGTCTACCAAACCATTGAATTCAAGAGACTTCTAGAGCTCTGCCCTTTCGCTAGTTTTACGTATTTGGAGAAAGTGGTTGTGGAGGCGGCGCGAAGGAACGACCTCCAGGTGCGCATTGACCACAGGAGGGGTTGCCTTATATTCGGCACTGAATTGCGTGTCTCGACCGGCGAAGAGGTGATCGAAGGGCCGCACTTGCAGTCGATGCCGAGCGAACAGATCCGCAAACAATTGGTTAATATGTATTCAACGCTACAAAAGGCGAGAAATATGATCGAACCCGAGAGGCTTAAGAACCAGAGGGAGGACATGAAGCGCAAGATCATGAAGGCCTACAGAATCAGTGCTCACGAGGAACACAAACAAGTGCTGAGACGACAGGGAATTATTGAAGAGAGAAAAGAAGAGTTGGAAAGACTTGGACTCAGACGGGAAGAGGAGGAGAGACGTAAAGTAGAGGAACAACAGCAGAGGATTAGAGCCGCGGAGGAGGAGAGGATGGCTATCGAGAAGAAGGAAAGAGAACAACAGATGAAACTAAAACAAGACATTGAGATAAAGAAACAGATGGCAAAGGATCAGATTTCTATGATTAAGGGTTCACTCACAGGAAATCTGCTTGAGATGGATGACGAAGAGTTGGCTAAACTTAGACCCGAAGACATTCACTCACGAAGAATAGAACAGTTGGAGAAAGAAAGAAGAGATCAATTGGCGAAACAGCGTAAACTCGAGCGCAAAGTGGATCACTTGGAACGCGCCAAACGACTTGAAGAGATTCCACTTCTGGAGAACGATTTAGAAGAATGGAAAGTGAAAGACAGCGAACTCTGGGATCAGATGGAAGACGAACGCATTAAAGACATTAAAGAGGAGAGACTTTTGGCTCTTCAATGCAGAGATCGCTTCCGACGAGTTCTCGACGACAAAGAGATATTTGCGAAGAAAATCATTTCTGAAAGACATTCAGTTTTTGTCGAAAAGTTGGAAAAATTCGAGTCCGACCTCACGGGTGAACGCAAACGTCGTTTGGATGCCAGACGTGAGAAACGCAAGAAAGAGAGGAAAGAGACGTTTTATGCGGAGAAAGAGGCGGAAGAGAAGAGGATTAGGGATGAAATCCAACGGAAGGCTGAGGAGGAAAAGGCCGCCAAATATAAGGAACAATTGGAGAAACAAAGACAGAGAGAACAAGAAGTGGAAGAGAAACAGAGACAGAAGGAGTTGGAAAGGGATCAAAGGGAACAGGAGGACAGACAGAAACGACAGCGCGATTTGGATACAGAGGACAGACATCCCCGCGAGGAAAGAGAAAGAGACTCCGAGAGAGACAATTGGCGGCGTTCCGGACCCGATCGACGTATTCCCGCTGACGGTCCCAATAGAGGGCCGGCCGACGACGAGAGCGCACCCAATAAAGGCGAACGAAATCAAGATAGAAGACCTCCGCCTCCTTCCAGAGCCGACGAAGAGAATGATTGGCGCCGAGACAGAGGGCCGGCACGAGAGGCACCTAATTATGAGAAGAATGTGGACCGAAATGTGGATCGAAATGTGGACCGAAATGTGGACCGAAATGTGGACGCAGAGGATGACTGGCATGAAGTCGGAAAACACGACCGAAAAGCCAATCGTAACACAAGAGCTGATGAGGAGAACAATTGGCGTCGAGGAGGAGGAGGAGGAGGTGTCGGCACGAATCGGGACGAACGCAGAGGAGAGGATCGCAACTTTGGTCGCAGTGATGATCGAAATCGCAATTTTGATCGAAACCGCAATTCTGACCGACCTTTCGATCGCACTTCAGACCGAAACCCCAATAGAGATGCGGACAGAAGAGGTCCTCCGATGCAGTCGCGTGGAGACAGAGAAGGCAACAGAGAGGAGGCGTCCGATTGGCGCAGTAAAGGTGGCGAACGAAGAGCGCCGTTGTCTCAAAACCGCGACCGCGTGGAGAGACCTCCGCGTGATTCTGACAATTGGCGCGATGACAGAAAGGCTGGTCCGCCGCCCACTCAGTCGAGTGGCGACAGAGACAGCAAAGACTGGCGTAAATCAGGAGAAAGAAGGGCTCCGATGACTGCTCCGCGCGGAGGAGACAGAGACAGAGACCGAGATGCCAGGGATACCGGCGGCAGTTGGCGTTAGACCACTGACACCCAAACTATTTGATTAAAATTCTATCATTTATTATTGAATAACCGATTTATTGTAGTCTTTAATCTTAATTAATAAATATTTTTGATTTTTTAAGAAATAATTAATTTGAATAAATTTTCTTTCAAATCATTATTAGTTTGTTATTTGAAAGCATGATTGCGAACAGAGTTTGCAATTAGTGTTACGTCAGACATATAAGGCCTGACCTTTTAATCCATACTATAAATACAGTAAACTGTATATAATTTTGTCAAATTTAAACATTTCATCAGAAAGTGGTGCTCTTTATTAGAAAAGTTTATCATTTTATGCATTATTTCTATGTCTATGAGTTGGCAACCGGGGAGCGCATACTTTATCTTTTATGGGCACCCCTTCCCTTCGGCGTGAATAACATTAGCGGTTAACCCCTAAAGGCATCGCATATTTGAGATTAGTTTGAAACAAACTTCAATGAAATAAAGCGCAAACTCTTACTAAAAACTCGTATGAATTGCGAAAATTAGACCACAAGAGCACCCCCTGAATGGAACCGGCATTTGAAGCAAAATGTGTGGTAAATGTAGGAATATTTAGATATACCATAGATATAATGTTAGGTCAAAATCCTATTAGAAGTTATCGACTATTATATACACATGTACTGTATTGTAGGGGAACAGCAAAAATGTGGCAATTTTGTAGTGCAAATCAATGATATGATCATTTTGAGTACAATTACAATAAAGTTCTGTTTAATATCATTCCAATTAAATATAATATTGTGATTATATTATATGAAAAATCATAAGATTTGTCGACTCATTACAAGTGCTGTGAACGGGTGTCGAGATATCTATGGTATGCTTTTGGACGGTCTGTTGAGTCGGTTTGAATAGGAATGGGATTGAGAATCGCCTCAATTCACCAAATCATTAGATAAGAGGAGAGACTCAAAGTCTGAGTGCCAGAGATGCGTGAGATGTACGTCTCCGGTGTTCCCATGAATTTCCTTATGATAACCATAGAAACTGTGGTCTCTTTAGTGTCGCAACTCATTCATGTGAGTAGAGAGGCATCAGAATAATTGTCAAGAATTCCCTTTTATATCACAATTTAGTGTTTTATGAATCAATTGAGAATTGACTCATACTATAGGTAGTAGTGGGAGAAATAAAATGTTTTACTAATTGTGTTTACATTACGTGAAATTGTTTTTATATAAAGCGTAAAGAAGTCCAAATAATTGTCATTGAATTGACTTGAATTGAATCAAGTGAACAGTACTCACTCAACACTGCAATAGACTAGTGTTCACTGAATTAAAGTTTTGGAATATTTGAAAACTGATAGTACAGTATGCATAGCATAACAATCAATTATACGCTACTTTGAATAAATATTTGAAATTTAATTGTTTTTTTTAATTTGTCACAATTCTAATCAATGAGAGAGCAGTGAATAGTAATGTAAGTCATGGAAATTTAATATGACATGAGGAAAGGGTTTACATTCTTTGAGTTACAATTGAATGAATGTATGAAGTTATGATTGGGTAGAGAAGTGATAAAAGTGGTTAAATTGAAGTATAGTATTCGGGATATAAGAAAAAGATTGATCACAAGTTGTGATCATTGATAGAGCGTAGACATAGAGACTGCATGTAATGGTAATATCACAGAGAGTTTATATTAAGTTTATATAAT